GAAAATGCGAATATTACACCCTGTGGCCTCACACTGACTGTGGATGCCGTTGTTTCAATATCGATTGGACAATAAACAAGAACACGGGCGTTGCAAAATGGTTATCTTTAGTCAGATATAGAAAAGAACCAAATTCAAATAGAAACAATAATAAGCGTCCTATCTTGCTAGTTGACAGGCTGTCAATCAAGTGAGTTGCAGGGATAATAATAGGCCGCAGTTAGCGAACGACATGATGTCACCCAAACGCTGCAACGAGCAACTTGTAAGAAGACTAACGTAAACGCCGACGAACTCCAAAGACATAGACGATATTGACATCTACGAAAAAACATCGCCATGGTCATGTGAACATGTAGTTTACCTTTGATGCTCGTTGATGTTGACTCCCAGCAGCGCAGACGCAAATCACGCTGTGCCATTCGCGAACAGGAAACGAGTTCGGTATTTTTAATTACTTCCCCTAAGAAATCGAAAACGACCGACACAGTGGGTTCAATCCCCTCCGTAGTTCACCTTTACAAAACCAATGAAATAATATCGTCACCACAAAAATAGCTGAACTCAAACCGCAAAAAAATATTTGAAAAGTGACATCGACGTTTATAACATCATGCGCGAGAAGTCTTTGAAAGTCACTTTTACAGATTTCTGTAAACGTAACCCAACTCCCCATTCCCTGCGCGGTATTGGCTGAAAACGAGAGTTGTCTGAGACATTGCCAATCGATGGCCGATAAACGGAGCGGCGAAACTGCACAGTACAGTATTTCACATTCTATATATATATATTTTTTGACGAGCACCAATACATATTTTTGACGAGCACCTATATATATATATATATATATATATATATGTGTGTGTGTGTGTGTGTATGTGTGTGTGTGTGTGTGTGCAATGTAAAGTTTATTCCATTTTGTACCATAATTGCGCGTAGTTTTAAGTATAAATTCCTCAGATAAAATCGGGTAGTCAGCGGCGTTCTCTGAAAAGTCCTGGGATCACTTTCCAGTCTTTCACATTAAACTTACAGCTGAATCCCACAGGTTATTGAGTGCAGATGACTTCTGGTCTACCTCTTCAGTGGCGACATATTTAATATTAATGGTTGAGTGAACGGTGACAATTGGTTAGCGCGTCGAGCTCACAGTGCAGAGGTCGTGGGTTCGATCCCAGCTCCAGCCTCCCTGTGTGGAGTTTGCATGTTCTCCCCGGGCCTGCGTGGGTTTACCCCGGGTACTCCGGTTTCTTGCCATATTCCAAAAACAATCATGGTAGGTTAATGGAACACTCTAAATTGCCCCTAGGTGTGTTGTTCGTCTGTGTGTGCCCTGCGATTGGCTGGCAACCGGTTCAGGGTGTCCCCCGCCTACTGCCCGAAGACGGCTGGGATAGGCTCCAGCACCCCCCGCGACCCTTGTGAGGATGAAGCGGTTCAGAAAATGGATGGCTGGATGGATGGTTGCGTGAACCTTGGCAGCACACACTGCTTAGGCCTTGACATTGTGTCACGATGGGCTGTACGTTCAGGGACAGAAGCGCCCTTATTTAAAAGGTTGGGATAGATAGGGTCATTTTAAAATGTCACCCCTTTTCGCCGCCCCCCAACGTTATTTTAATTTTTCTCGGGATGTTGAAATGTTTTTCTCCTCATATTGTTAAAATTGTAAAAAAAACGAAATAAATAAATATTGGCTTCACATGACACCATTCTCCTTATGTTTGTTTTCTCTTAATAATAGATGTTTATTCCTGTAAAAGTACTACTTTTTCTTTGCAATATAATATTTTTGATAAAGTAAATTTTTTTGCCTGTAATTTTAGCTTTTTTCTACAATTGTATTTGTGTAACATTACGACATATTTCATTAATCCACTCCATTCTTGCACATTTTTTTCTTGACATCATGACTTTTTTTCTTGTACCATCACATTTTCTCGTCGTAATTTTATATTTTTCTCCTAATATTAATACTTTTCTCCTGGCAACAATACAACTTTTTCTCATGCCATACTACTACTTTTTTATTTTCATTCGACTCTGGCAATCATGCACACTACATGGACAGGGAATGTCTTGTCTGCAGTTTTGAATGAGCCAACTTTAGAGTGAATTAAAAATAATGGTTTAGTTAAGAGCATATTTAAGAAATAAAAGGGTAAAACAAAAACCAAAAGATATCACGCTTATTAATTCATTCAATTTGTCCCATTTGTGGACTTCATTAAGACTTCCTGATGCAGTTTCTGGCCCTTGGTGGTGAGCACGCTTTCACGAGACCACCGTTAATGCCTAAACCGATGCTGAATTTCTTTCCAAATGCAAACAAATATGCTGTACATCATTCGTCTTTTTAATTAGTTAAACTTTCTGCGTATGCATGAATTGAACAGAAAGTGCCTGAGAAGAAAAGAACTCCGACAAATGTATTGATTTCTTCTTTTTTTAATTGAAGAGAGATATGTACTGTATAGGTGGCCTCTTGTAAGGCACCCTTGCAAATTGTACAACAAAAAGCTGAACCATGTATTTATATCCAGAGTACAAAAATACACATCTCAGTGACTTCAAATCCGTATATAATAAACATAACTAATCATGCATTTTCTAACCATAAAAAGGCACAGAAAACAGTCACTTAGTAGTCATTAAAAAGTATTCATTATTATTATTATTTTTGTTATTATTATTATTATTCTTATCAATAAACTACTTTTTACTAAAGTCATTCAATATAGCAATACAGGTGACAGACGACATTATATTCAAAATGTGAGAACACAATGCACGCAATATACATTAGGCAATAAATATATATTTTTAGATGATTGATAGTTCTTAAAAATTAAAACTGTAAACACAATGTAAACAAATAAAACTCCCATCACAATTTTTTTAGGCTATGACAGGTCCTTTTGCAAGGTTGGTTTGGACAAAACCAGGCAGTTTGGAGCATTATTTACAAACATTAAAGAAAGATGGCAGCTTCCACATAGGGGGGGCAGGGGTGCATTTGCTTGCCTTGAAACTTGCGACCCAAACCCAGCAGACACTTTGGATGCATATCTTGAGAATGAAATGTAACTAAACCACAGCAATGCAAGTTAATGTGTTTTAATGGTTACATTTTTAACTTTGGCTAATAACTGCAGAATGAAATTTTTTTCACAGTCAATGTTCAACACTGCACTGATAAATGCAATTTGCACATGATTCAAAACTGCAAACAAATGTTCGGAGACCACCGTGATGTATTCCATCGGGCATCCACCAATTCCAGATATGTAGCATCAAAGTTGTTTCATAACAGGAAGATATGTCATAAAACCATCAAAATTGTAAAAAGAGACATCATGTATGGTGCGTGTTGAGCAATCAGGTTACAATCACAGAATCAATTGAACGCGATTGGAATACAACTGCGACCTTTTGTATGGTTTTTCTGTATCACGGAACTTCACCTACATGCAGGTGGGTCTGAAAACGAGGACTTCATTATGTTTGATAAAAGGTGAAATCAGTCAAGAAGGCCCAAAAAACAAAAAGGAAAAAAAAAATACCCACTAGATCGACGTTAATCAACTTCGAATGCTAAACGGCAAATGTTTCGAGGGAGAACAAATAGACAACTCAAATCAATTTGATCCCATTTTTGGGGATTTCTGAGAGTGAAAATCCGAAACAAAAGGACAAAATAAAGCATAACACGTTTGGCAACTCTTGTGACATATTAACGACGCAAATAGCTAAATCGTTGAGCCAGCTGGCTCTTATCCACTAAAGCAATCCTATTTTAACAAATCATCATGGAAGCACCACTGGAAGAAATATGTGTGTGTGGCGGTGAGGGGGAGCGGTCTGTGCACCACTCAAAGCGGGTCAAAATATTGCACCATCATTCCATCACGACAGCATTGTCACGATCATGCACGAGACGACAAGTGTCGCGGTGTCATATACACAAAATCCAATGTGTTGACACACACATGCCATGTCAGCCACTTACTGGACGACACAATTTAACAAACATGGCTTGCATACACCGCTATACTGTACTGCAGAGACAGTGCATATGTCGAGATATAAGATTTACAGTATTTACAATCTTACCTATAGAAAGATATAACAGACCCTGTAATGCCACCGGTTGGAAAGAAATAATGTTTGGAAAGAAAAAAAAAAAGCAACATGCATGCCCATAAGGCAGAAAAAAAAAAAAGGATTTGCATTTGTGTTTTAAAAATGTGCGAATTTGCCAAAAGTTGAGGTGTGCTGTTAATCTATTGTAGCAGAATTTGCACCTGCATTAAGGCAAGAGATAAACAAAAAAACAACAAAAAATGCATTTCCTCATGTAGAGACCGGGGGCATTCATTTACTTAATTGGAGAGAGTGCCACGCATCTTGGGATGATTTTAGAAACATTAAATATCAGAGGTGGGCATCATCAGACTGTCAGTGAGCTGTATGCCAGACTGACAAATGCCCTTCTTTGTTAAATACGACACGTAAAAAAAACAAAACAAACCTCCCCCCCAAAAAAAACTGTAAGCTTCCCTCTTACATTAAAAAAAAATTATATTTTTACAAACAAATAATTGAAACAGTTGACATTGGCTCGAATCTGCCCCAGCACACCCGCGAGCCTAGTGAGGATAAGCGGATTAGAAAATGGATCGATGGATAATGGAAACAGACCATGTCTGATCTGGCCATTTGTTTTTATTTCCCTTTTAGATCAAATTAAAAGTGACAATTTGAGCTCTATTTTCGTGGACAGCGCATCTGCTGCGGGGCGCAAATGCCGGTGGATGCTGATTTTCGTGTAAGCGCAAGGCTCACTGTGAGTGTTTGACAATTTGGCAAATGGGTCTCCGCCAAGCTGGACATTTCAGCATTGGGAAATAACATAATGGAAGGACACATGTCACAGCGCGCATTTAACGGGAATGAGATGAGCTGCTTTGATTGGATGATAGAAGTTGGCTTAAACCACTCCCACAGCGGTGCAGACCTCCATCTCTCAGATCTGGCCTGCGCTCAACTGCAAAATTATCAACACTGGGACTAATCCGCGTCGGTACAGAGGTATGAAGTCCACACACGATTCACACCATTCAAGAAAATCATGAAAATAGAGCCATCTCTGTAGAATTCAGTGGGTTTTTGTTTTTCAGAATTTACCTTTTTTTTCAGGTGAATGTTGAGAAAGCAGATTTTGAACGCTCAAGCCAGCTCTACAGTTCAAGCAGACTTGGCAGTCAATTGGGGCACGGCGTCTATTTGAGGAAATACGGTAACATAAATTATTCTCCCATCGTTAATGAAAAATGAAACCGACTGGTGAGCGGCAGTAAAAAAAAAAAAAAAAAAAAAAAAATTGTGAGTTGACTGTTTTTCGTGTAACATTCACTTTGGTTTACCATTTTTTTCCTCCACAGTAAACCATGTCCCTAATAGCTTGAAAAACTCTTAACGACATCCTCCTATAAAGCACATTTTAAGCTAAAAATACTCAAAAGATATGGCACTCGATGCAGACCTTTGACACGTCAACGTCATGCAAACAAAATAAATTAAAACTCTTCCCTCATGTGCACGAAAAAGGACACACTCAGTAGTCACAAATGGCACTGATAATACTCGGAAAGTTAACTTGTTCAAGTGTTACGAAAAACTTGAAAAACACTAAATCATGCAATTAAACCTTAAACGATCGAGCATGGAACATGCCGTTGTTGAAGTTCTACAAACTGTTTTGTTTTAAACAACAATATTAACCAGAACGACATCCCCACTCATGGAAGTCCTGCTTTCCTGCTTTTGCTACTTATTTGTTATCACAAGTTGAACAACAAAATCTGCACTGTGTTTAGTTGCATACCTGTATGTGTGTGTGTGTATGTGTGTGAAATATGATTGGTTAATTGTCAAGGAAATGGCTTTTTGTGAAGATTCTTCACAATCTTCCCTCCTCTTCCTTGACTTTGGAAACAGGCTTCACGGATCCGATTGCCAGCTTCTCCAGTGACGTGGGGGGAACATATGCTTGTGCGTTTCCCCTCTTCGGAAGCGTCTGCTTCCAGGTTAAAGATCTACCATGGAGGTCTTGGCCAGGTCCTTAGTTCCCTGGAGGATTCTCTTCATATGACCCACTTTCGATATCCCCAGATCCTGCAAGAACAAAAAAGAAGAACAATTAAAACTACAGCGCAATTAGTTGTGAAAAAAAAAAATCACATTCCACTATAAAATGTCCAAAAATTATTTTAGACTATTGACATGGACAGGGATGAGCGGACCCCCATTGGTTGTGATTTTCTCGGTGGAGCCAACAAATTCCATGCACACACATAGTTGCACTTCCATTATATTGTGCGCTACTTCTTCCCTCACGCTAGGCCTTTAAAGGAGCGGCACATAACACACAACACAGTTTTTAAGTGCTTGAGTTGACACACAGGCCTCAAATAAAGCCAATTTGAATTTTGAGCAAGAGCTTTAAGAACACAGAGGGGTACACGCAAGTGGTGCGCTGGTGCGCATGAGCACTGGAAATTGAATATTGCGCTCCAGTTCAAGTCTGTCATCGCACTTTAGCGCACCAGGAATCTTACAGCTCAGTCAAGTCAACTTGAATGCCGTCAGGCAAGCTTCAATTCGAAGTCAAGTCAGCCGCTACGAGTGCTTCTGAGGGCCACCCTCAAAATAAAAGCTAAGTAAGGTTTTGCTATCCACATATGGTAAGTGGTGCGCTGGTGCGCATGAGCACTGGAAATTGAATATTGCGCTCCAGTTCAAGTCTGTCATCGCACTTTAGCGCACCAGGAATCTTACAGCTCAGTCAAGTCAACTTGAATGCCGTCAGGCAAGCTTCAATTCGAAGTCAAGTCAGCCGCTACGAGTGCTTCTGAGGGCCACCCTCAAAATAAAAGCTAAGTAAGGTTTTGCTATCCACATATGGTATTACTTGTTTCACTTTCAGTTTGAAGTTGACAGAAGCCTGTACGCCTGCGTATTTTCTGCTACAAACATGTCATGAACTGCCGTGCATTGTCCATCTGGTGGTAAAATGTAGACCAAACTACACTCCCTGCTTGGCTGCGGCAATTCTATGGTGTGTGTGTGTGTGTGTGTGTGTGTGTGTGTGTGTGTGTGTGTGTGTGTGTGTGTTTGTGTGTGAGGGGTAGGGGATTGCACATGGACAGGAACGATCAGGGTGGAAGGCGGTCTCCAAATGCCCACCACTTAATGTTGATCTGTGATCTCCCTGGCCAACTTTTTACACCAAATAAGTATGGAGGTCTGCTTGCAGCACCTTATGAACGTGTCTTGCAAGGGAGTCTCTTTCTGCTTCCACAATCTCAAAGACTGTGAGCCTTTTGTGTGCAGATTTTAAAAGGAATGAATGGTGCCACTTCCACTGGCTGGGAAGTGAGTCGGCTATATTCACACCCACAATGGTGCAAACGGCCGTTTCTAATTGTGATCAGGTACAAAAATATCAAGAGAAAGAAAACTTTACTCATGTGCACGGTTAGACCGTCCTTGCGCCACATTTCCATTGGGCATCAAAATAGAGCCCAAGGGACATATAAGTACACAATCAAGTTAACCATGGATATTAAAATATGACCCCCCCCCCCCACACACACACAGATACACAAAAACGTAAAATGAAAAATCTTTAATGACAAACGAGGAAAGCGTAAGGCACTGCTCCACGCTTCTTGCAAGTGTTTTCACTTTGTATGTGTGTGTTTGACTCTTTCGCTTGTTAGTTGGCTGAAAGAGTATCGGGGACTGCAGCCCCCCCACACACACACACTTCACTAGAGTGGTCGCATCTTACGCTTGCTTGCAATTCAAAGGAAAATCATTAGCTTGGGCGTTTGTAGGTCAAGGTAATACTGTGTATAGAATGAATAAAAATGAATGTCCGATATGTGCCAGATACGAAAAGCACCAAGAGTGAGTGACTGGATGCTCGCTGACATCATAATAAATAAAAAATGTGGACCAAATTTGTGAAATTGGAATAAGACTGCAGGACATATGGAAATCTGTGTACACAAAATGCCAGACATACAGTAGTTGTGTAAGGCAGGCAGGTGGTCTAGTGCAGAACTGCAATGTTTGTGTTGCAATTATTGTTCCGACCTTTTTGATACAGTTATAGTTCTGTAAAATAGGTCTATGTCAATAACTAAAAAAAAAAAAAATGATTGCAAGTATACCGCCTCAGATGAAATATGAGCTAATGTAATATTAGATATGAAGTTTCTTCAATGCCAGTACAGAGGGAACACGGTTAACTCTGTAGGTTAAGCATTGAAGGCAAATTCACAAAACCTAAAAGATATAACTTTTGAGTTCACAGAAAGAGTCCAGTGTCACAGTCAATTGTCAGTCCGGGGTGTACACTCCTGCCACCCGAAGTCAGCTGGGATGAGTCTCAGCTCACCCAGAATCCTCGATGCAAAAAAACAACCCCGCCCCCCCAAAAAAAACAACAACAAAAAACAAGGCTTTCCTGTATGTACAGCGGATCTTTCTGCTTAATTAAAAATTCATTCATTAAATAAATCAATGTTCAGTTGAAAATTTTTGGCCATCTCGAACCTCTCTTGTGGCTTTAGGTTAGGCATAGGCATTGATCACAATTCCAAACAATCTTAGAGAAAAGCAGCTTCTTTACTATTGGTACTTCCCGATGTTGCAGTGTTTGGGGAAAAAAAAAAAAAAACAACAACAACAACATCTAAAACACTTTTCCTGAAAATGTTGGTTGAATTCTGAATTTGACCTTATAGATCTTTCACTGTCTTACGATGGACAAACCGACATGATTCCACTGCAGAGAAGCAAACACCCTTGCTATTCATGGAGGACAGAGACCTGCCATGAACAGAAGAAATCTGTAGGTAATTGACACATCCCTAAAAAAGGTTTACAATTACCTATATGCTATGAGATCGTGGCAAAGGACTACCTCTGTTGCTTTGGCCCGAGTTCAAAAACAGCAAATAGGTGAGTGTCAGCGAATAAAAAAAGTCACAAATTGAGACTATGCAGAAACACCCTGTACTTGCTCTTAATCCAGTCCTGCTCTTTTGCTGTAAACTCTCTCACAGTACTTGAGAATTGGCTCTTCTATCAAGCAAGACAGTCAAACAGAGAAAAGCCAGGCAGAGCAATGCAATGCAGCGGACAGGGAGTTATTAAAGAAACACACCAGGAGGATAGAAGAGTGCTGGTCAGGGGGCAGAGCGAGCTGAGTGTTTATGTGCGAGTGTGTGTACCTTCAGGTCCCTCCTCTCCAGGTGCAACAACTCCGAGCCTCGGATGTCGTGTCGGATGAAGGTGTCCCGGTACTCTCCCAGACTCAGCTGCTCCAGCCAGACGCCCACCTCGTCTGTGCCCCATCTCTCCACTACACGCACACACACACACACACACACACACACACACACACACACACACACACACACACGCACACGCACACGCACACGCACACAAGCACAAAGGAGAGCAAAGAGAGGCTCAGAGCGCCTCCCAGATATGCAAAACAAATGCACAGATGTAAAAACGTCACCCACGCACACACAGAAATGCACGATTCCTCAACTAGTGGTTCCTATTAATAGACACTGTATTCTTGATATTTATAAGAAGAAATAAACGCCTCCGTCAAATTAATGCCTTCCTTGATCTGCACCATGAAACTCAGGCAGTAGACATCATTATCTTAGCACAGCCATTAAAAAGGTAACAGCTGAGCCCATTTGTCCTGTTTTGCTAACCAAATCAGCAGCATGTACTTTAGCAAGTAACCAATCTATCAGATGAATTTAAGTTGATGAAATTTACAGTTTCCTTCATTCCACTCAAATGGCCTGGTGGTCGCTCCTCATTGACTTTAACTTGAATTTGTATGTCAGTCGGAACATGGCGTATTTTATCACTAACCTTCACTGGTGCGCAATAAAATCAAAATTCAAGTAAATATATGTACTGTAGGAAAATCACTTCTCGTTTATGAATATAATAACCAGATGAAAAACAGTCAATATGACAGCAACACTCTTGTTAGTACTCATCCAGTTCTTACACCAAAGCCCAAACTAGTGCCACTAACTTGCGAAGCATCACTTGGATACATTTTTAAAACAAAGGACCCTCTGCCCACATTCTATAGTGAGCCACTGCTATTAATGGATGATTGGGATGAAGCTCTTTCCCCCCATATAGTGAAAATCAGCAAGTAAATGATACCAATCCGAAAGGGCCTTTTAATTGCCAATAGATGCCACAAGAGGGCTCTGGCTGACTAAACAGAGCTCCTCCTAAAACTTCAACAAAGTTTGTTTGGAACCAAGAAACCACAACATGGCGCAACAGCAATATTTTTATATTTGGCATGGCCTGGGCCTGAGCCCAACAGCAAATTTGTGATTTATTTTCAGCGAATAATACAGGATAGAAAAAAAAACCTATTTTAAAAAAAACTGTTAATCGGCGAATGCCAAACCGCGACTCATTGTTTTAATCGAGCTTTGATGCCTCCTCCTGTCTGCGCCTGAATAGATAATCGCCATGGGCCACTAGATGAGGAAATACAGTATTTCTTCTCACACACTTGAACAACACACACACTGTAGTATATCATTGAAGGAAGTCAAAAGAAATACGAGGAACAGAGGAAGGCAACAAGCATTAAAGGTGAGAGGTGGAGAGCAAGAGTGGCGGCTGTTGGCAGGAAAGAGGGGCTTTCAAGTGGGGCCTCAGGGCAAACATGCAAGCAACCTTCCGGCTCAACACAGAGGAGGAACAAGTAGAGAGGTGGAAATACAGCCGAGCTAATTCGTCAATATAAGCAGCAAGGCTAATCTGATCCGTCTTTAATCTTTATCTTCTTCTTCTTCTGCAACTTAGCCCTTCTCCCGATAACATGATGCTCACTGAAGGACCAAAGTATCACCTGAACAAGACCTTTGAGTTTGGACGGACATGAAAAGCAAAATTGATTTGACCCATATCTCGTTTAAAAAAAAAGGAAAAAAAAAAGGAGCATTAAAGGCACAATGGAACTGCTTTTGTCTTTTACACAGAATCATTGGATCACCTGATGTAAAACTGAAACGAGCCTATCTATCATCATGAAGGCCTTTCACATATTTTCCTGCTCAGGAATGCAAGTAAAGTGCCGCACGGTGTAGTATTGGTTACGTTCTGAGGTTTGGGGTTCATCCTTTCTGTTTGGAGTTTGTATGTTCCACTCATGCACCTTTTCCACTGCACAGTACCAGTTTGGGGCAACAGGGAACATGCAAAAAAGAAAGACATGTTGCAGTGAATGCATCACTGGAGATACACGAAAAAAAACAAGGTCCCCTGAATGTTTCTTTACCACAGTCCAGAGACTTGTTTTTTCATGAATGGAACCGACCGGAGCATTGCAGCACAGAAGAGACTCGCGTGTATAATATGCTTGTAACAGGGTTAGCTAATGTTGGTGTGTGAGTTGAAGGTGCTAAGCTGCATTTAAACCGATTTTGTTAAATAAAGGTATGTAAGTGCTGGGAATCTTAAGCGAAATGTTTCTGTGTGTGTGTGTGTGTGTGTGTGTGTGTGTGTGTGTGTGTGTGTGTGTGTGTTTACAAAACCTTTCAGCACACAACTAAAGAAAAATACCACAAGAACCATATACATTCATAGCATGACCAAGCTCATAATGCAAGTACTGTATTATTTGTCTTTGTTTGTCCCGTTCAATCAACAGCTGAAAGTGCATCAGCAATTGTGGCTCTTTTTTTATTCACCGCTTCACTGGAATTTATGTAAATTTTGGTTTGCAACACAAAGCAAAAAAAAAAAAAAAAGCATCATGTAACTCGAAAAATTCAAGTTGGGGCGTTCAAAATCAAAGTACTAAAATAATCATGAGCTGGACTCAGTTCACCTCCAAATTCACTCCGTGCAAAATCTGTGCCCGTTTAACTGGATGTAGCTTCTATACTAGCAGGAATTGAGGAAAGACGTATGTTGACAATTTTATAACCAATGAAGAGAAACCGTATGACTTTGTGGGGGAATCACTAGCTTGGCAAGTCAAACCCACTTTGTTTCTGGAGGGAAGAAATGGATCTAGATTGCCCGCCCTTGACGGCTGTTCGACAAAATGAACCGTGCATTCAAATGTGTTCATTTGTTGTGACGTATTCTTTGTGAGCAATGTCAATCTTCATCGGCAGAAGTCCATCCTCATAACATCCACAATGACGCGCAGGAGAAACGTTTGTTTCATTCAGCATTAAACTCAGTTTGAACTGACCAGAAACCCATTGAGTCATTAAAACCCCAGCAGCTGACAGCACCGGAAGCATTTATTTCAAAGAAGACGCGCTCGCCTTGCTGCCCACAACTCCCACAAGTGGCTTTTCTGACATCACTGTCTGTTTGCTCAGGTTTGCCCCGCCTCCGAAATGCACTTGATGCGACTGTGGCCAGACTCAATCGTTGGTACAGCGAGGAAAGGCGTGGTTGGATGAGTTTGGTGTGGAAAAACAAGTCCATTAGATTTGTAAGCAGATGTGTGGGTGCAACACTTCTTCAATTAATTTGTCCGTACAGAGGGCTAGCTTAGGAGGTAAAACAACTGTCCTCACAGGAATGGTCCGCATCAATCCCGATTGCGATTGTATTCCGCTCCTGTCAAGTGGATGGGTGGCATAAAGTGAGTGCCGCCTTACCTGACTGCGGGCTGGTCTTTTTGGCCGCCTTCTCCTTCTTGAACTTGGGCACTATGCGAAAGACGCCGCTGCGACTGTTCCTCTTGCCATAACCCAGAGAGTGGTCCTGGTACACAAGCACAATCAACCTATAGCCTTTCATTGAGCTACTCCGCTCTCCCACAACATGGAGCCATCTGCGACATCCCCGACAGCAAACACCGTGCACAGCGGCTTCATAGACTGTCTTTATGCTGTACTACATGTTCATACGAGATTTGTGCGTGATGCTCACCTCCTCATCATTGGGCTGCAGAATGTGGTAGAGCCACGATATGTCGCCTACTTTTCCCAGTTCCAACTCCACACTCTGCAAGGCACTGGAAAGTTGTTCCTCCTCTGGTGGGTCCAATTGCTGCCAGAAGTAGACGTATAATTATGACTCTATCTTTTTATTACAGTAGATAACTGACAACTGCCATTTAAAATTGTTAACAATAGTGGAAACCTCATTTGTGGAGATTCTGGAGGGTGGACACAGTTGAACAATTAATGTTGTTTGAACAGTAAAAATGAATGCGTGTATCTGCATCTTTATTCTGAATTTCACCAATTTTTAATGGGTTATTCCTTGGTCTTTGTACTACCCCACTATGTTGAAATTGGTTAAATATTTTTGGTGTATCCCTCCCAGTGAATATTTCAATATGTCAACAAGTTCATTAAAATCAAATCAAGATTTTTGAACAATTCTGTATATTAATGAAGGAAAAAAGGTGAGACCAAAATGATTAACATTCACCAGAGTTTAAGTCAGATTTTATATAAAAAAGACGGATGTTGTAGTTTGAAGGAAAATGGTGCCTTTATTTTAAGGTAATGCATAAAAAAATATACCTACATATAATTATGGCAAAGACAAAATATTCTAAACACTTTAATAGGAAAAAAAATTAAAAATCAATGTTTGTTTTAATTTTGTCGTGTATAGCATTATCACTGTCCATTTTGTCATTAACTTTTTGTAAATTGGATCCTCTCTGCATAAAATACAGTGCTCTTTCAGTTCATAATTATTATTATTTTTTTACATATTAGATAGCAATCAATGTAAGCCTTGTGGACATACCAGAGAGACCCGCCCCACAAGAAGGGTTTCGGTCTCGTTGTACAAAGCCTTGACAGTGCTGGCCACCTCTATTGCTGTGTTCCTGGACAGGCTCTGTAACGTACATAACGTCCATTTGTCAAGTTGATAAGCAGTTCGGTCGAAGGAAGAGAATTGTGCGTTCAACGCTAAAGGATGTCTTAGGTTTACAACCAAATTTGCAGAAAGGAAAGTCTTGTTGACTGAAAAAACAAAAAACAAAAAAAAAAAACTATCCACTCCATTTTATTGACTTGAACTTTATAGAAATATACCCCAACCTAAACAACATATGCCAGAATATTTGCAAATTGTTGCAAAATCTCGACATGATAGTTATATGATACCTTGATTAAAATTGTTACAATGTTTGATATTCATTCAAAAACACGTAGAGCAAAAAATTTAAATTAACAAATTTAACAAATATCCAAAACTCCAACCTTAACCACTTAAAAAAATAAGTTGAATCAGAGCAACCTGTTGCAAAAATTTTATATTTGACAATACATTGAACAAAACTGTAAGATTAAATCACAAAGTGTATATAAAGTATAAATCCCAAAAGTCTAACATTCATTTCAATGTATATTTCAAAGTTTAAATTAAATGTTTTCAATTAATCCTGTAAAAACATTTTCAGTAAGGCTAGATTTTTTACCTCGGGGAACTTGGGATGTGTTTTGTTGATGGCGTGCGATGCTGCGTTCACGGCGTGTGCCAACTCCTGCTCCAAGAGTCCATTGGTCTTTGCGGCCTCACATATCCTGTAATGAAACAAGGAACAAGAATAAAAGTTAAGAGAGAAAAAAAAAAAGAAATAGTCGACTTTTGATATGTACTGTCTTGGATCGTATAGCTACCGCGTGATGAGCTCTTCTGCGGCGCGGGCACACAGCTGCACAGTAGCGGCCTCTTCCTCTGTGGCCAAGTCGACAGACTGCTGCGGGTAGAGGTGAGGCCGCAGAGGGGGCTTGTCGTACTTCAGCTTGTCCTCCCATGACTTAAGTGTGTTCTCAAAGGCCTGAGTGGAGGAGAGAGGACGCCGTTAGAAGACAAACGTCCACTATGACAGCCAGACGATTCCTCTGAGTTTCCTCACCCGGTCTCGTGTGAGCATCTGCGCTCTGTTTTTGTGCTGGATTTTGATGACTCCTGGCGGCTGGATCCACGCCTCCCCGTCAACCTGGATGGGAACCCCCTCGTCGCCCAGGATGGTGATCTTCACTGTTCGACACTGATTTGCAAAGCGTACTTTAGATAGACATTCACTTTTGAGCCACATTTGGGGAAATTGGTCAAATTTACATTTATTGGTCCGAAAATTATTAATTTAATGAATTACATATGGTTCTTTGTTCATCGATCGATACATGCGACATATATTGAAAGGCAGAGCAATTTAATGCCTTTACCACTAGATGGCAGATGGTGCATACTGGAATAAACCTATGTATCCACCTGTTGCCACTCATATAATAGCATAATGGTATGCACACCCTGAATAGGTACTGCACATTTGTGACATGACATCATCATTATTTCAGCATATAAACTTTTTGTGACACTTTGAATTGTTAGTACAGTATACGTTCCTTGGTTCATAAAGGTTGAGAAATATTGCACTACACTGTAATATGGAGTATGATGATCAAATTCTGGGGACAATAAATACTACTTAGTCATTTTTTCCCTAATCTTTTCAATGACAGCGATTTTTTTCAACCTCTGGAAAATTGAGAATGTTATATAGTCTGTCCTAAGTGATCTCACCTGTGCTATGCGGTGATGTTGCAGCTTGATGACTCTGGAAACAGCCATCTGCATGCTCCCAAACACAGCCACCACCTCCAAGATTTTATCATCAAATGATGGAGCACAGAAAATCTGCATGGTTCGAGAGATTAACCGACATCGACAGTGAGTCAAAAATACTTGGAATTGATACATTATGCAAGTCCACTCCGAAGCCCAATGTCACAATTAAGTAAGGATCGATTTTCTCCCCAGACAGTGTCAACAGTAACTCAGCATACTTCGCATTTTAAAAGCTCATATTCAATACATTGCATTCCTCGTGGTTTTTTTTTTTTGAGTGTTCATGTACTGGTAAGACCTGACCACTAGATGGAGCCATAGGACATTGAGAAGGGGTTGCATTTGCATTTCATCTGCACTTTAAACGTGCGATTTAAAAAAAAAACCCAATGTTTTTAACCTCAATAAAATATTTTTAATACATTATAATTTTGCTAAGGATGGGTTTTCTTCAGGGATTTCAGCTTCCTCCCACATTCTATAAGAATGAATGTTAGGTTCATTGAATTGATGTGTGAATGTCAGTGGAACTGGTTCTCCGTATGTACATACAGTATGTGTGCCTTGTGATAAAATGGCAAACCAGTCAAGGATGTACCCTGCTTCTGACCGTAAAGTCAGCTCCGTAACAAGCTACTCTGACTGGTAGAAAAGTGATCAATGAATATAATGAAGACAATGTGCGCAGGTAGAAAGATATTTAATACAGTATCCAACTTACCTTATAGTTGGGGACTATTTTCTAATGAAATTGGGTTGGCTAACATGCTAACAATTGTTCTGCTAATATTCCCTCACCACTTTTTCCACAGCAGCGGTTACATAACACCAAATGTTATAGAATATAAGTGTGTGCGTGCGTGCGTGCGTGCGTGCGTGTGTGTGTGTAAGCTGACACTCTAAAATGCTATGAGCTTTAAAAAGACAATCATGGTTATACTGTAACTCCCTTCAAGGCTATCAGGGTCACATGGAAGGAGACCCTGGAGTCTTGCCAGGTTCTGACAACTTTCCTGACAAATTTTTCCTCCTGTTTTTATTATCCCTTCTCGCCTCAGTGGAACATTCATTTGGAGTGGACTCACGTCATCCTCCTTGGTGCCGCCCCAGAAGTTGGTCCCGCCGGCATAGCTGGGAATGTTCAACACTGCGATACCCTGAAGACTGGGCAGCGGGATGTACTGGCCGTCACACTGGGAGAAAATAACAATTTAATTCATTTCCGGCAGAGGTTCAGGCAGAGATCTCAGGAACAACAGCATAGATTCAATAAACATTCCTTAGTGTCTCACCTCCAGTTGGACTTTCTGCTCCAGGTTCTTGTAGGTCCTCTGGAGGAGCTCCTTGGTTCCCAAGACGCCGTACCACATCATGTTCTTGGTGCGACTCCTGTGAAATAAATATTTAGAATATTTGAACAACTTTTCTCTGAAGATAAGATGACATTTTTTTTTATTTAAACGTAGCCTGTAAATGGAGGTCAGGTAGTACCAGTGCTGTAACAGAGGCTTATAGCCACTTTCATACTTGTCTAAAATTGTCACTGTTCTGTTCACAAACTACCCTATCGACTAGAGTGCTAAAGTCCATCCATCGAAATTAATTACAGTCTTCTGTGAACATAGTTCATGGAACATAGCATGGTTTTAGAATGTGGAGGGAAACAAAGCAGCCACAGAAAACCCACACAAGCCCGGGGCCTAAGTCAAGATTCAAACCCCAACTTCGCTTGACTATGAGGCAGAGACCATTACAGCACATTTTCCGGCATCAGACATCCATACTGTATACATTCGATACAACCTTTTTATTGAGACATGAAGCTAAGAAATTCACATCTATTCCCACTCGGAAATGATCATTCCCAGTACTTATTTTTCTGGTGTTTGAACCATAAATCTGGACCACTTGCACATTGTCAATACTTTATGGGTTTTGGCTCTGAACACGGCTGTCCGATTTCCGATAAGTTTCATGGTGAAGGGACACAAATGTGTTAGAAATAAATAGAAATTATATATAACTTGGTCACACCTGCATTTTTCTGGATGTTCCTCACGCTTGTTGTTGAACTCCAAGGAGATCTTGGCATCAAGTCCGATGCCAAAGTAGTTGTTCATCACACATTTCTCCATGTAGCCCTCTCTGATGGATGAGGAGGAGGGTAGGGAGCTCATACACTTTCTTCCACATGTACACAAACACTGGATGAGATTCGGTTCTTACAGTGAGTCCAGGTCAGGGTCAATAAAGGGGGTGGCACCGAAGGGGTCGATGTTGGCCAACAGCATCTTGCTAATGATAGAGCTTCCTGCTATAGAGGCTGCCAGGCCAGCCCTCAGTCCTACACACACACACACACACACGCACGCATATATATACACGCAGGTCGCTGACAACCAATTTGCTAAAGAGATAAACGGTTTCCTATGCGAGCATGCTTGCTTTTCGTTTTTCATATGTGTGTGCATGTTAGCATTTTCTTGGGTATTACTAATACGACAAATGAACTTTTTGGGTGCACTGCAGTCTAGCAGTTGAATCAGAATAGAACATTTTAGCAGTCTTTTTTCACACAAGTCTTTGTACTTCTACTTAAGTATAGAGTGTGAGTACTTTTGCCACCTACGTGTCTGTATGTGGTAGTGCTTGTGCTACTGTGTGTTTGAGTTTCTACTTTAGTGTGTTTTTGTGCATAACCACATAGACTGCAGGTGTCCAGATCCGGTCCACCACATTTTATGTGGCCCACATGTGCAAATCATGTGTGTCAACTTCCATGAACATTGCTAAAATGTTTACCATAATTTTAAATTGTCATTTGTAATGGATAATTTTTTGTTACCCTTCTTATAGTAATTTGAACAATAATTGAACAAACTACCATCCTTGACATCTGATTTTAAATCTAGTAATCAATCAATTTGTTGTGGATTATGAAATAATACCGTGAGTCAAATTTATTTGGATTAATTTGAGATTTCACCGTCATACCGTCATACAATAATTTGACACCCCTGCTGTATGTGAATTTGCGAAAAGTGAACCACAGATACAATGACTGTTATCATGTGCCTATTAGTGCATTACATGCGCCTGTTTTAGCATACATATTCATGCGTGTCCCTCTGCTCGTGTGTTATTTGGCGCCTGTGTACATTGCCTGTGCAAGTGTGAATGTGCCTATTTAAACAGGCACAGTTTATGCGCAAGCGTGGGTGTATGCATACCTGGACAGATAATGCGCGTGTTGAGCACGGGTAGGTTCTCCTTGCTGGTGGTGAAAGGTGGAATGCTGAAGGAACTGTACGACTGTGTGCTGCGACTCACCCTCCTCTCTGTGGGAGAACACACACTCTTGACCGCTACGCGCGCACACACACACACACACACACACACACACACACACACACACACACACACACACACACACACACACACACACACACACACACACACACATGCATCAACTACACAGACAGCCAAAGTCTGTCCAGGCTACTCGGTAGATATTGGCTGTAGCAACAATAATTTTAAAATGATAGAAAAATACGCTATTATGTCTTTATACTAAACAAGATGTACCCTCAAACACTCAGTGGGTTCAACAAAGAAATGAGTAATGTAAGTGCATGGTTTGTTTTGATGTTTCAAAGTAAACATTGATTATTTATCCATCCATCCATTTTCAACACTGCTTAGCCTGAAAGAGGTCCCAGCTGACTTCGGACGGAAGGCAGACTACACTCTGAACTGGTCGCCAATCAGTCGCAGGGCATATATTGAGACAAAGAACCATTCATACCCACATGCACGCCATCACTGAGGGGGAACCGATCTCTCACAAGTCAGGCGAGTCTACTATTACACCATCAACGACTTAAACTCTGCTTATCTTTTTTAAATACTTCTATAATTGTTGTTACAATATTACTTAAAGCATTGCCTATCTGGTTTAATAAATTTATGATGCTGACAGTTTGACCTTGGAAGAGTTTAGTTTTACTGACATGTACTGTACTCCTATGGGGAAGAAAAGGTTTGCCTAATATCACTCACTTTCTCGTGTTCTACTGGCTGCAAAATGAGTGGAAGGAAAGAAGGAAGGAAGGAAGGCAGCGGCTGCAGGATAAACAGGAAGAATTTCTACTCCAAAGACAATAACACATCCTGTTGGCCACACAACGGTGTGAATGTGCGTGCACATATTTATATTTATAACTTCTATATGTGATTCTCTTGCTAGTTAATAGATGAATGTGCTGCCTGATGTCTAAAGTTTCTTCAATCGTGATGTATGACGAGAGCAAAAAACGTTGCACACAAATGCGGACATGATGTAAAAAACAGAGTTAAAGCTTAAAACTTTATGTGTACAGTATATACACGACAGGAAAAGCAACTTGCGTCAGCTACAACCACAAGGGGGGAATTCTATATGCTGTGTTATTTCCTATTGAACGCTGCACAATGTTTCATGTTGTTATTGTACCGAACAGCTTGCATCCATCTTAAACAAACAAACATTAAAAAAAAAAAAAAAAAAAAAAAAAAAAAAAAGCAAGAGATGTATTTCGTGTTGAGACGTAAAACAAAAAGCCTACGTGCTAGGGCTTCTAGCTCCTTGGTGTCCTCATCCTTTTCGCTGTCCCGGTTCTCCTCCTCACTGTCCTTGCGGAACTCCAGCGGGGATGTTGGCTCGGATTCGTCTATGTTGGCATTCTGCTCGTCCACCACTGAACATACAAAAGGCATGTATTGTATGTATTGTATTTTGGGGAATAATAATAATAAATTGATGAACATTTAAATCATATTAAAATATGTATTATTGCCATATTTTAAATAAAATATTTTGATTTATTGATATAAAGCAAAATTATACCAAATATAATATTTTCGAATAAAGCAGTCATGACAGCAAGCGAAAGTGTGATGATAACCATAGAAACTGAAATTGATTCAAAGGAAAAGGAGCCGCCGCCGCTCACGGAAGTAGAAGATCTACAATTTTTCATCCACTTTCTATAATGCGTGTTCTCATTCAGGGTGCAGATGAGATGCAGTCTATTGCAGCTGACTTTGGGTAGGAGACGGAGTCCACCCAGGACTCGTCACCATCCAATCACAAGGCTCATAAAAACAAGCACTCACATTCCCACCAACAAATGATTTTGAAATGATTTGAAGAAAGTGTAAAACCCATACAAGCATGGGAAGGACATGTCACAGAACCCGGAACACCAGAACTGCGACACATCTGTGCCAATAACAGTACCTATAAAACACCACTAGGTGACAGTATAGATCACACTTCTGTCTTCCCTCTCAATAACATATGCGTCTTCAAAGACTAAATTGTTTTACTTTATATCAGTTGTATTTTGGCTAAAATATGATCAAACGTCACCTCTCTCGGTTTGCTCGATGACCTGCCGCAAAGCTTTCTTCAGACTGTTGGCCCTCAATACCAGCTGCTCCCGACTTTTGAAAAGCGCCTGCGGGAAAGCGCCACCGCTGCCACCTTTCTCCGTCTCCTCCTCTTCCAGCTTCTCCTTCAGTGCCGTCAGGCTCTCCTCACTGGCGACCTCCTCTTCCGGTTTCTCCTCTTCTTCGCCCTCCGCCACCTCCTCGTCCTCCCGCTCCTCCTCAACGATAGGAGGAGTGGCGTGGGGCAGTGGAGGCAGGACCTGGCACTCAGTGTTGAGCGTTTGGAGGAGGGAGTCCAGTTTCTCATTCAGGATGGCACACTGTAGGGAGGTGACATACAAGCAAACCGAATGCACTTGATGCAGGTGTACCTAATATCATAACGGTGGAGGCTTTTTACTTGACGCACCTTGAGAGACATGGAGTCACACTCCTCGGCATTCTCTGTGCTTTTTTCATAGGCTTTCCCGACTTTGGTGACAAAATCCCTCACTGTTTCACACAGGATCCTGAAAAATAAACCTTTAAATCAAAAACAATGTAAAGGAAGATACACTGATGTGTTCATATAGAAATCAAGGAACTATACAGAGTATGCACTGTATAAATACCAACAGATTACACTGTTATTCCCTTGTTATTTCTAATATAGTCTACCTAAGATTTTATTGGATTTGAAGCTTTATAATCAATCAGAGACATATCAACTTTTGTTTTCTGAGCATTCTAACATTGCTTTTGGAAGAGTGGGGGGAAAGGTAGAAGCATTTTTTTCTTCAGTTGTAGTCACGATTCATGGAAGCTTCGGATGCACTATTTTTTATAAAATTTTTTAGTAATTGGCCATATTAATTAAAAGCCCACCACAAACGATGACACCAAAATGTCGTCACTTCTCTAAAGTTAGAATTTCAACATTGTCTTTGACCCCAACAGTACTTCTTTTCTATTCGATCGGGCTTTGACACTATCTTGTGGAATCTTTGGGCCTTCAGACGAAAAAGTGCCAGACGGTGAGTTCTGCAGCAAATAGCTGTGGGGATTGACTCCACAGAAAAAGACATGAATATCTAAATTTGTGAACAGTGACGCAAGAAAATTTAGCGAGGCATATACTGTAGCGTCCATTTTGACTTCAGCCAAATATGATTACGGTAAGTGCCTGACACTTATCTAGCTTGCTGAACCCTTTCAGGGACAGCGGTTACTACAGTGGACAGCTTATCATGTTATCAGGTTATAGGGTGCATGAAAGGGTTAAAAGGTCGATTCAAAAAATGTTTAAAAGGACAGTGGTGTTTGTTTGCGCTGCAAATGGATATTAATAAACAACTTTTCGTGCCAACGTGCATCCCGTTGCACCGCGCTCATCAAGACTTAATGGCCGACCGGCGCCGATCTGGGCGTCTCAGTGAGTCACTTACTTGGCGGAGGAAATGACCACAGAGTGCTGCTCCGAGTTGAGGATCTTGGTGAGATGAGTCGCCACGGAATCTTCGTAAGCTGAAATGTGAAACTGGAGTACACGTCGTTGGTCATTAGTACATCTTCCATTTGTGTATAAAAATGGAATCAAGCTACACGTCTGTTGGTGTCTTGCACACTACCTGGCAACCGTCTGCACCCTCGGGCGTGGCGGGGCAGCTGTGCTTGGGAGGGATCTTGATCTCGTAGGTCATGATGCTCCAGCGGTCCAGCATCTTGGTGCTGGCTCGCTCCAGCTTCTCCAGGGTCTGCGGTAACTGCGTGTCGTCGTCGCAAGACGGGCCCCAGCCCAGCACGCGCGCCAGGTCGTTGCCTGTACCCAGCGGCAGCACTCCCAGCTGGCACTGGAAAGTATTGCGACAGCGTTGAGTTGGCGTCGCAAAGTAAGATTTTGTGCAATGCTTTGTGTAATTTGCTGAGAGACCACCTCAAAATGTGCCTATAGATGCCGCACGTTGGTGACAAAGCACTTTTTCAAATCAGACAAGGCAATGGTCTGACGAAATGAAGCTTCTCCCGCACCTCAACGCAGTTCTTTGACGCCAAGATGCCACAAGATGGTTCCAAAGAAATTATTTTATATTATACATGGCTTTGGCTTGAGCAGTAAAATAGCAATTAGGTGACATTTTCTGTGGATAACAGAGGATAGAATTACTCGATGACTGGAAAATATGAGCTAAACCTTGTGCCACATTTCTCTAAGTAGGTAGAGGCATTTATTTACTCAAAGTGAAGATGTGGGGAGACATCTGTTCGATATCTATTACAGTGGTACTTTGACTTGCCCCAACAACATGTTTTCCACCCATCAAGCTATTGCTTGGTTGATTTTTTTTTTCTTTGTGTCGAGAGCCAAAATTTCTGTTACGAACAAAGGTAGAGTGTGTAGAATTCAGTGTCATCTAGTGGTGAACTAAAAGAACGCGACGACCTAAGCTGGAAGGGCCTCAATTTTAAAGCACACGCACTACAGTGCCTCAGAGAGACCACATTTTGCAAGCCTACCACCAATTTCTTCAGCTGAGGTGGACATAAATGGACTAGGATTCCCTCAAGTGATGGAGTAAGTGCATGGCATTTGTTACACATGCTGTAGTCATGATGTTGAGGAACTATTTTAGTTTGTCTTCTGAGGGCAGGGGTGTCATTTTTGTCATGGGCCACATTTTAGTTGCCGTTTCCCTTGCAAGGCAGTTATGTATGAAACCACTTAAATAAGTCAATAATAATGGTTTATTCAACTATTGGTTTCTGGTATCAAGAAAATGCTTCCAACGTGTCTCTTATTTATTACATGTGAGAATTTAAAATTTTGGTAGAAATTTTAGCAAGCATCATTGAAGTTGACATGTTTGATTTGCTTTAGCCAGCCACATAAAATGATGTGCTGGGCCAGATCTGGCCCCCGGGCCTTGAGTTTGACACCTGTGTCTTAGGGTATCCGCAGTGTTGACAATGACAACATCATTTCGTTAATGCCCCTGCTTTCATGACGATGGCGAACTAAACGTGGCTCTTTGATGACTAAAATATGACGTGACGTATGTGAGTTTTCGTTGACGAGACGAGACTGAACGAAATTGGTAGCATGTGGTCTGTCAGACGTTCAAAATGCATGACATCTCTTCCTGTTGTGCATGTAATCTGTCTGTCAAAAAATATCAGCAATGCTGCTGCAACCTATCCTTGTCTGGGCACCTCTACCACCTGGCCGGCACGCAGGACACACACACACACTGGCGCAACACAACACGTCTGCGGTCAAAAGTCACACACACGAACACGCTTTCCATTGATGGACCATGCACCATACTACATGATTATGTGGAGTCCACTGTAACGTTTTCCATCTATCATTTAACTAGTTTTTACAGTGATATATATTGTACAATGTCTTTCTGAAGGATAATTAACGGATTAGAAATGCAAAAGACCATTACTAAGTTTTGAAGGATCTGCAGACATTCATTATTATAAGCGAGCCACCTTACTGTGGGTAAGGCTATTATTCGCACTCACACATCTTTTGTATTGTACAAAATATGAGTGAGGTCAAGTGAAAGTGGAGTTAAAATTATCGGAAAAATTGGAGGCGCATGGAGAGTCGGTCCATGACTTCAGTCTTTAGTGGATGACAGTTCTTTCATTACCTGCTTGTGTAGGTTGAGCTTGTCAATTTCCGACAGCACCCAGCCCACACTGCCGTCACCACCACACACTAGGATTCGGAAGTTGTCAAACTTCTGAAACAGGCGGAGACTGAAAAACAGAGAGTGTGTGCAGAAAAATCATTCTTGATTCTTTGGTAAGTGTTTTTGATCTATACATATACTGTACATTTCTATTTCTCAATACCAGTGACTGAGCCAAGGCAAATATTTTAGGTTCGGAAAATCTCACGGCACATCACCAAACAATAACGTCACAAAAAGTGGATACGCATGTCAATTAGGTATGTACTGCCATTTAATCAAAGATTATTTATTTGTTCTGTCTGTCACTAATGTACAAAATGAATAGTTTTCTGAACAATTAAATGATATTTGATAAGAGTTCGCGGGTTAGTAATCACTGGACTATACAGTCCCGTATAAAAACTCACAAGACACATCATTAGGCACACATGCACAATCAAATGAGATGCAACAATGGATATTTTAGTTTTGATGGAGACTTTTCTCATCAAATTCCATCACATTGTGCTGATGTTCCTAATGAAGGCGTCACTCAGTTTGTCATGCTCACCCGAGGTGCGGGCCGCCGTTGACCAGGTCGAAGACTTGTGCTGGGTTGAGCAGCTGCTTAAAGCGTCGCAGGAACTTGACTCCTTGGTTGTCACCACTTTTGGAGTTGACGAAGACCAAGAGGGGACTGGCACACGATGGGGGACAGGTGGCCTTCCAAAAGCCTAATGGGAAATTTAGAGAATAATAATAATATAAAAATAAACAATAATACAAAAAAGTATTTAGCTTGTATAAAACATATTATTGTATAACATAGTATGTAAATTATATGAAGCGAAATTAGGCAGATATTGTGTGTGTGTGCGTGTGTGTGTGTGTGTGTGTGTGTATATATATATATATATATATATATACCGTATATGTGTGTATATATATATATATATATTGAGGGAGTCCATCTGGAGCTGATTCAACATAACCAAGAGAAGCAGATAATGATGTTCTAATAAGATTGGAAGGAATCCAATTTAGAAATGTGCCTCCGAGGACGAACCACAAACGAAGGTTTTACGATTAACCTGATCGACGGCCGCACTCAGGTCAAGAAGTATCAGGAGTACAAACATGAGGGCTTTCTCATCTAATGCGGATCACTGCAGTTTTGCACGTTGAGAAACGCTGAGTGTGTACTCAGAATGTTGGTGATCCAAAGTATCCCCCCCCTCTCCCCCCTTCTCTCTGTTTTAGCTCCGATGTGCGGAGGTCAATTACGAGGACCCAGTGGTGTCATGACGTCTCCAAACTACCCGGTCCAATACGACAACAATGCTAACTGCACTTGGGTCATCACTGCGACAGACACATCTAAGGTAGGACTCAATGAAAGAATAAATGCCGGCGTCACTGTGGAATTTGAAACTGGACAGTGATTTGCACTTTACTTTGGAGTCAGCTAATCCTTCGTTAAGCATCTCCAGTTGGTCCAGAATGCTGCTGTTGCTTTTTGACTACTACTCGTAAGAGGGAGCATATAACTGGCATCCCTTCACTGGCTCTCGATACATTGTAGAGTTCTATTTAATATCCTATTTGTTTTCAAATCGTGAAATGGCCTCACCCCACCTGACCACTCTGAGCTCCTGCGCAACTGCCTGCTGCCTCGGGTTTGCGGACGAGACACGATAAGAGGTAGCGAGAACTAAGCGGAGGCTCAGAGGGGATCGGGCCTTTTTCGTTGCTGATCCGTCTCTTTGAGCGTTAGGCAAGCCCCCTCGCTGCCCACCTTTAAAGCTCGTCTTAAAACTCACAATTTTATTCTTTGGCTTTTGACTCGTGATTTTCGTGGCCTTTGACGTGATTTTAAGTGTTACTATTTTTGTTCTCTCTCTCTCTCTCTCTCTCTCTCTCT